TCCTTTTTTTTTTTTTTTTTAAAGATTTATTTATTTATTTATTTGAAAGCGCTACAGAGAGGCAGAGAGAGAGGGAGGTCTTCCATCTGCTGATTCACTCCCCAAATGGCCGTAATGGCCAGAGCTGCACTGATCCAGAGCTGCACTGATCCGAAGCCAGGACCAGGAGCTTCTTCCAGGTCTCCCACATGAGTGCAGGGGCCCAAGGACTTGGACCATCTTCTACTGCTTTCCCAGGTCACAGCAGAGAGCAGGATCAGAAGTGGAGCTGCTGGGACTAGAACTGGTGCCCCTACGGGATGCTGGAGTTACAGGTGGCAGCTTTTCCTGTTACACCACAGCACCGGCCTCCAGTCCCTGCTTCTTTCTTTTTTTTTTTTTTTTTTTTTTTTTTTGACAGGCAGAGTTGGGCAGTGAGAGAGAGAGAGACAGAGAGAAAGGTCTTCCCTCCATTGGTTCACCCCCCAAACGGCCGCTACAGCTGGCACGCTGTGCCGATCCGAAGCCAGGAGCCAGGTGCTTCCTCCTGGTCTCCCATGCAGGTGCACAGCCCAAGCACTTGGGCCATCCTCCACTGCCTTCCCGGGCCACAGCAGAGATCTGGACTGGAAGAGGAGCAACCGGGACAGAATCCAGCACCCCAACCAGGACTAGAACCCAGTGTGCCGGCGCCGCAGGCAGAGGATTAGCCTTGTGAGCTGCGGCACCGGCCCAGTCCCTGTTTCTGACAGTAGTAGTACTGATGGTCTATGAGACCACACCTAGTCCACGATATGGACATCAGACAATCTGCATTCAAGAGGACTAGTGGCCAAGGGTTCTCTAGGGCAGGGCAGGGCAGGGCAGGATGCCAGGCACAGGCCATATTCAGCACCTGCAGGGCACACACTGACGCTGGCTGGTGGGCTGCACTGTGCCTAGTGGTTAAGCAGGCCAGCAGGAGTAGCTGCTACCCATTCTTCCCTGGCTCTGCCATCTCCTGGAGCTGGGTCCTGTTTCTCTCTAACACAGTTAATACCAGGGTACTGATGCTGCACTTCTGGTCACCTTGTCTGGGGGTGTGGGGTTTAGGGAAATGCTCAGGGGCCAACTCTTCCAGTTCCTGTGGATCAGTTACTTGTCTAATCACCTGCTATGGCTGGTTGTGATTCAAGTGCATCTCCCCAAGGCTCATGTGCGGGAAGCTTGGTCTCCAGTGTGGCAGTGTTGAGCTGGGCCAACCTTTAAGAAGTAGGGCCTAGGGGCTGGCAATGTGGTGTAGCAGGTTAAGCTGCCACCTGCAATGCCTGCATTCCATATAGGTACCATTTAGTGTCCTGGCTGCTCCACTTCCAATCCAGCTCCCTGCTAATGTAACCTGGGAAAGCAGCAGAAGATGGCCCAAGTCCTTGGGCCCCTGCACCTGTGTGGGAGACCAGGATGAAGCTCCTGGCTCCTGGCTTTGACCTCGCCCAGCCTGGCCTGTTGCAGCCATTTGGGGAGCAAAATAGTGAATAGAAGATCTGGCTTTCAAATGAATAAAAAAAAATAGGGCCTAGTGGAAGGTCACTGGGTAAGATAGCATATATTGCAATGCATACAGACAGGAAGTGTATTCTTGGTCATTGCTGGTCTGCAATGGGCGCTCTGATCCTGTCCTCTTGCAGCCTCTCAGAACTTCCCCAGTACTTCTGATTCCCTGCGCATCCCTCTCGTCTTTTTGAGAACAGTAATTTATTCTTCTCTTCTCATTTCTGGGAGTTGAGGCTGCAGAGGGAGACCACTGCTGTGAGAGGGACAGTCAGAGCATTTCTACAAAAGAGAATTTGGCAGAATCTTGGTGAATGAGTAAGAGCAGCTAGAGTGGACGGGGAAGAAAGGGGTAATGCGATCGGCGCCGTGGTGCACTAGGTTAATCCTCTGCCTGCGGTGCTGGCATCCCATATGGGTGCTAGATTCTGTCCCGGTTGTTCCTCTTCCAGTCCAGCTCTCTGCTGTGGCCCGGGAGTGCAGTGGAGGATGGCCCAAGTGCTTGGGCCCTGCACCTGCATGGGAGACCAGGAAGAAGCACCTGGCTTCTGGCTTCGGATCAGCGCAGTGCCGGCTGTATTGGCCATTTGGGGGGTGAACCAATGGAAGGAAGACCTTTCTCTATGCCTCTCTCTCTCTCACTGTCTGTAACTCTACCTGTCAAATAAAAAGAAAGAAAGAAAGAAAGAAAGAAAGAAAGAAAGAAAGAAAGAAAGAGGTAATGTGGGCTGAGGAGACAGCCTGAGCCAGGTATGGAGGCAGGACAGTACCAGAGAGGGTGAGGGAATGCAGGGACGTTGACTTTTCTAGAGCGGCCAGAGTGCTGTGGGCAGCAAAGGGAGAGGCAGGGATGAAGATTCTCGCGTGTCATGGTGGCACGCTCCTGCATAAGTGCAGTCTGGAAACCACCAGGATGTGAAACTCGGACAGTGGGACAGAAGAATGGAGAGAGGGGGCAGGGTCAACAAATATTTGGAAATAAAATCCATAGGCAAGGAGGATTTTCTTTATTTCTTTTTAAAGATTTATTTATTTATTTGAAAGACAAGAGCCGGCACCATGGCTCAATAGGCTAATCCTCCACCTTGCGGCGCCGGCACACCAGGTTCTAGTCCCGGTCGGGGCACCGGATTCTGTCCCAGTTGCCCCTCTTCCAGGCCAGCTCTCTGCTATGGCCAGGGAGTGCAGTGGAGGATGGCCCAGGTGCTTGGGCCCTGCACCCCATGGGAGACCAGGAAAAGCACCTGGATCCTGGCTCCTGCCATCGGATCAGCGCGGTGCGCCGGCTGCAGCGGCGGCCATTGGAGGGTGAACCAACGGCAAAAGAAGACCTTTCTCTCTCTGTCTCTCTCTCTCACTGTCCACTCTGCCTATCAAAAATAAAAAAAAAAATAAAATAAAATAAAAAGAAAGAAAGACAGAGTTACAGAGAGAGGAGAGATAGCTGGAGAGATCTTCCATCTGCTGGTTCACTCCCCAGATGGCTGCACTGACCAGGGCTGGGCCAGGCCAAAGCCAGCGGCCAGAAGCTTCACTCAGGTCTCCCATGTGGGTGGCAGGGGCCCAAGTACTTTCCCAGACCATTAGCAGGGAGCTAGCTTGGAAGTGGAGCAGCCGGGGATATGAACTGGTGCTCATATGGAATGCCAGTGTCACAGGCGGCAGCCTAACCTGCTATGCCACAATGCTGGCCTAAGATTTTCTACTATTGTTTTCTTTAGATATAATACAAATATCCTTCAGCATTCTATCAATGGGTTCTTTTTTTTTTTTTTTTTTGTAAAATTTGCAAAAGTGAGCTGTTTAAGTCACAAACACTAGCACTGGTCATAACATGCAAGTTTTGATGATTATTGTCCAAGCTGGAAACACTTCTATCAAGTTTCAAGTCGGAACTAGAACATCCTATGTATGTCTAGGCAGCATCTAATTGTAATTCTTCTGGAACAGATACAAGTATTATCCAGTTTGTCATGGCTGTTCTTATCGTAGGAGGGCAACAGCTCAGCACCAAGCAGTGTGGAAGAATTCTGATTTGAAACCATGGATAGGGGTACACCAGGGTGTTCCAGATGAGTATCAACCCCAGAAGATGTCAGTTATCATTATGAACTGTGAAAGTCACCAACTAAAAGCAGAGACTTAGATGAATTTTGAAAATCTTGTAAAAAAAATAGCGTGTCATTTCCAAGAGACAAACCTAAACCAAGATACAGGAAGTCTTGGAAATGCTACAGGTGAGAAAACGGAGGACACGCAGCGTGAATGTCAGAAGCTGAGCTAGAACCCTCACACTGTGTTCCCCAAGCGGCACCCCCTACCCCTGCCTTGAGGACCAAGACCTTGGCTAGGGCGCCTGAGCACCCCTGGCTCCTGACTTCCACCTGGCCCAACCCGGCTGTTGCAGCCATCTGTGGAGTGAACCAGCAGATGGAAGACTCTCTCTCTCTCTCTCTCTGTAACTCTGGTCGTTAAATGGATAAATAAATGATTTAAAAAATGGCGAGGGCGCATATCGTGCACCTCTTGGCAAGAAGCAGGTGGATCCAGATGTGTTAGCATGGGCACTTCTCAAGACACCGGGAGTTTAAAAAATACCGAAAAAACCGTTTCTTTGAGTACATACACAGAGACAGAAAGTTCTGGAAGGACACTTCCGGGCTGGGGGAGCAAAGAGCGGGCCCGTTTTTATTTTTTAAATTTTTTTAAAAAAATGTGATTCATGTATTTATTTTCATATACTTGAAAACCAGCCAGGGCTGGCCGGGCCAGGCCAGAGCTGAGGCAGGAATTGCGCGCGGGTCTCCCCCGTGGGTGGCAGGGACCCAGGTGCTGGAGCCGCGGCCTGGGGTGTGCCATGGCAGGAGGCGCGCGCCCCGAGGTGGGATGCAGGGGTCCCCGCCGGCGGCTGCACCGCTCCGGCTCCTCACCTCCACACGTGTAGGTCTGGTCATCTGCAGAAGGTCCCGTCCCCCGGACTTGCTGCTGGTTTTCTGTTTTTTTTTTTCATGATTCCATTGGGGCACCTTTTTCATGTGAAAAGTTTCCTTCCCTTTAAAGGAGTTGCTGACAGCGCACGCGGGGCTGCAGAGAGCTTGGGGCACGCTGTTCCGTGCAGGAGCGCAAATGCTGCTCAGTGCGTGCAGGCCTAGCGTCCTCCACCCGCCACGGGCAGTGCGGACGGAGTGGAAGCTGCTTCCTCCGCAGCCGGCCCGCCGGCCGGGCCCCGCCCCCCAGCCCTCGCCCCGCCCCGGGACACGCAGGGGCTGCCGCGCCCGCGGAGTTTTCCGCCCAACAGGCTCCTCCTCCCGCCCCGCCCCCTTCCCTCGCCCCGCCTCCAGCCCCTCGCCCCGCCCCGCGCCCCTCCCCGGGGCACGCAGGGGCTGCCGCGCCCTTGGAGTTTTCCGCCCAGAGGGCTCCTCCTCCCGCCCCGCCTTGACAGCCGCTGCACCCGCGGTCCCGAGTGCCCCGAGTTCTCCGAGAGCTGCGGTGGCCCGGAGCTCCTGGAAGAAGTAGATCGCAGCTCTCGAAAAGTCGTCCGAGAGAGCCGCTCACTGGGGCCAGGTGAGTAGGGGGCCTGGGCCCGGGCGGCGGCTAGGGTGCGCTAGGGCACCCCCGGCTCGGCCCTGCGGCTTCCTGGTTGCGCAGCTTGGGGCAGGGGTGTCGGCCGCCCGGCTGCCCCGCCCGACCCACGACGCGGTGTTTGAGGCTAAGGGGGTACACAGGGGCTGTGCACTCGTGTCCGGGACACGTGATCTTGCCGCGGGTGCCGGGGTTAGGGGCTCTGTCCAGGGCTTAGGGTGGGTGAACCTGCGGGCAGCAGGCCACCCTCGGCCCCTCCGGCCCAGGTGAGTTGAGCTGCGTGCGTGCCGCTCCCGGCTGGCGACCGGAGGAGGAGGAGGAGGCTGCCTTCAAGGTCTCTCCCACGGGGCTGGGGGGAGGCGGTTCCTGGAAGCCGCTGCCCTTGTAGCTTCCTTGTGAAGGATCTAGGGAGTGACTGGGAGAAGTGCGGGTCGGCCCCCGGCGCCCGCCTGCCTTCTGCCCTCCTTGCAGGGGACTCGCGATTGGAGAGGCGCCAGGGGTGCTACTGGGCAGACTGGGGAGGGGGAGGTCGGGTTGGAGACAGCCTGCCCGGGGGCTGCCCCCTCTGCCGGCCCTCACTTCGCTGCTCCCCGCTGCCCTGCCCAGGAGAGAAGGGGTGAAGGGAGCCCGGCCCTGCCTGCCGGGGTGAAAGACTGGCAGGGCAAGGCTTGGGAGCCGGCTTGGCCTTTATGGCCCTGGTTATGTTGCCGTCAGTTATCTGGGATTCCCGAGGCATTAGCTGGGCCCCCTCCCTCTGGGCACTCTCTGTGCTCCAGACTATGCACTGACAACAAGGTAATAACTGTAGCAGTTATGCCCTCGCTGGCTTGCTGGCTTCCTTTCATGGGCCATCAGCGTGTGTGGCTCTGTCCTCCTGCTGCGCCCTCCTTACCCCATCTTACCCTCTCACCACCCTCCTGGGAGCCATCCAGGTGCCCCCTCCCCTCCCCGTGCCCTGGGCCATTCTTCTGTGACTCACCTTGTGTACTGTTTGTACGGCCGTGGTCTCATGTGCACTGTCTCCGGAGGGTCGGTCTGTGTCTGACTCACCTCTTGGTCTCTTGCACATCCCAGCATGGGCCTTGTCTTCTCGGGTGCTCAGTGTCCACTGAATGAAGGCATCAGAACGGGGAAGTGGTCTTCCCAAGGTTAAGGTATTGGCCTGCAGGCTGGCTTTGGCTAGGCAGCGGGTGAGGTGGAAACGGACCCAGCTGGGGAGATGGAGAAGAAGCTGTCGGAGGCCGGCTTGCCGGCTTTATTTAGCCGGGGCAAGGGTGCTGGAAAGGGCCCTCCCCGCCTGGACTGCCGTGTCTAAGAGGCTGGGATTGATTAGTGATTCCTTGGCCACGCAGTTGGGGAAGTCCGGGATGACGGAAGTGAGAGTTGGGCCACAGTAGGTTAGGAGCTCACTGCAAAATAAAGAAACCCAGTGTGGGCAGGAGGTGATGTGGAATTGCTAGATCTGCCCGGGCCCAGGGCCTTCTGGAACGCCGCTCCTAGATGCACCACTGTCTGCCTCTCTTCAAGGCTGCCACCTTCCTTCTTAAACCTGAGCAGCTCCTGGCACTTGTTCCCATGAGAGTCTGGTGGGTGTGTTCCACAATCAAAGCCAAAGGAGCCCACCTGGCTTTCCCTGGACTTGATCTCTTTGCACTGGGAGTATCAGGAATTCGAGTGGTACCCAGATAGGAAAGCCCTGGGGGCACATGAAGAAACCCAAGTTTCCCGGGCAGGAGTCTACAGACTTAACATGAGCTGTTGACGTTGGATAGAGCTTCCTGATAGCTGTAAAACCATTCCCTGTTAGGCTGCCTGACCCTAACCCCTGGAATCCAGGAGAGATGCTTGGTTATAACTTGGGAGAATCCTACTAGTCCAGGCTGAGCACTGACCTGAACCGCAGCTGGCCTTGTCTACACTGATGGGAGGAAGTCATGGGTGGGGGCAACTGAGGCAGCAGGGCACAGAGTTCTCATCAGTGCTGGGTAACCTGGACCGAAGCTGCCAGGGCCCCTGGGTTCAGGATGATAAAATGAGAATCAGATGAGCAGATGCCTGCAGAGGGGGTGAGACAGTTAGAGGGCCGCGATGATGCTGTTGGGGTCGTCGGTGTGTTACGGAGCCTGTGCAGTGGGAGAGGTGTACAGTCATAGTGTTCAGTTTCCGGGGCCTGTGCTTTCCTGTGCGAGAGAGAGAGGTACACCTGGGGTGCGAGGAGGCTGGCCTAGAGGAGGTGAGAGGGGGCCGAGGGATTGTGTGGCTCATTGAGCCTGGGGCCCGGTGGTGTCTCTTGGGGGAAAGGGCATGTATGGGGTGGGGGTGGGGGTGTGATAATACGCAAGGCCATGGCTATTTTTAGGGAGTAGGTGACAAGGCGTGTTTCTACTGAGCTCTCTCCCTTAGTGAGTACCTACTGTTTGCCTAGCCCTGTCCTATGTACATGAAAAGGGAGGCCACCCCCATTCACCCTGGGCTTGTCCCCAGGGGTGTCCCTGGGACATGGGACACTGGATGAGCACTGGGTCGGGTCTGGAGAGTGGAGAAGATCTGAATTCATTTTAGACGAGTTGTGGCTGCGGTGCCTTCCAGATGCCAAGCCGGCTGGTGGAGCTGGGGCTGGGGAGGGGTCTGGGCTAGGCAGCCGGTTCTGTCTGGGTTGTAGTTGTGATTCAAGTCAAGGGCAGGGTGAGATCCAGGAAGGCTCCTTGAACAGCTGAGTTAAGGAAGATGAGCTGAAGTGGGGCGGGAAGCCAGGACAGAGCCGAGTCACAGCAACCTGGGGAGGCAGCTTCCGGGAGTTGGGAGTCGGGAGTCGGAGAGGCTAGTGTGGTAGGTAGGTTGGCGGGAGTGATGGGAACAGGCCAGTTTGGAGTGCATGATGGGGGGCTTGCAGGCTTTGAAAGAGGTGCCGCCTAGAGAGGGAGTGGTTCTGCCTGCCCAGCTCACCCGTGGAGGGGCCTGCAGCTGGACGCCCCCACCCCCATCCCTAACCTTGTTCATGCAGACAGAGGCACCTGCGCCTCTCAGCAAACCGCTTCGTTCTGTGCACTGTGTTCTGCAGTGTGTGTTTCCGACTCGCTTGCCGTGGGCGATGACTCTGGGTCACTGCTCTCCAGGCAGAATTGCCTGGTGTGGAGTTACCGTGGTTGACTTTCCCTGCCTGCCAGGCGCTGAGATTGTTTCTTGTTTTTATGGACTTGAAACGCTGTTGGTGTAAACAACCCGTAAAGACCCTGATGGGGATGTCACTGAAGGCCTTTATGTAGGAAGAATTGATATTTTTATGACACTAAGTTTTCCAAATCAAAGATTTACAAGCCTTGTAATAGTACTTTATTAGATAGTAAGAATGAGATTCTTTTTCTTAAAGATTTATTTATTTATTTTGAAAGGGTTACAGAGAGAGAGGGAGAGACAGAGATCTTTCATCCTCTGGTTCAGGACTGCCAGCACTGGGCCAGACCAAAGCCAGGAACTTCATCCCGTCTCCCACGTCAGTGGTAGGGACCCAAGCACTTGGTCCATTCTTCCTGCTTTTCCCAGGCCAGTAGCAGAGAGCTGGATCCGAAGTGGAGCAGCCAGGACGCGAACCAGTGCCCCTATGGGATGCTGGCATGCAGGTGGCAACTTTACTGCTGTGCCACAACACAGGCCCTGTGAATGGCTTGTGTTGTAATTTTAAATGTATATACATAATGTTTTACCTTTTTTTCCTGTTCTGTGGTCATTAATTTCTTGGTTTATCTTTATTCACTGCTTCACTATGATTTATTTTGTGGCTCTCCTTTTAATATATTAATTGGTTTATTTAATTCTTTTATATGAAAAAGCCTATAACGGTTAACTTCTTTGTGTGGGTGCACCTGGGCCATCCTCCACTGCACTCCCTGGCCACAGCAGGGAGCTTGCCTGGAAGAAGAGCAACCGGGACAGAATCCGATGCCCCGACCGGGACTAGAACCCGGTGTGCCAGCGCCGCAAGGCGGAGGATTAGCCTAGTGAGCTGCGGCGCCAACCCTGAATGTGATCTTACTGGAGTGGATCAAGTTTTCTTTGTGATCACTATTAAAAATCCTCATGCATTTGAAAGAAGAAAATAATTTTTTCTGTGGGACACAGACGTTGGACAGATCTATTAAGTTGAGCTTGCTATTTATAGCCTTGTGTAGCCATCTATCAAATTCTGAGAGATGTGTCGAAAACTCCCACTATAATTTTTTTGAAAGTCCAGTGCAGGAATTCTGGGTTTAGGAATTTATAGCTTTCATGCTTATTGTACCGTGTGCCATTTCTTGCATATTTTATGCTTTTGGTCTTTTTTTTTTTTAAGATTTATTTATTTGTTTGAAAGAATTGCAGAGAGAGGGAGAGATTGAGAGAGATCTTCATCTGCTGATTCACTCCCCAAATGCCACACTGGCAAGGGCTAGGCAGGCTGAAGCCAGGAGCTTTTTTCAGATCTCCCACATGAGTGACAGGGACCCAAGCACTTGGGCTGTCTTCCAGTGCTTTTCCCAGGCCATTAGCAGGGAGCTGGATCAGAAGTGGAGCAGCCCATGGGGCCCGGCGCCGTGGCTCACTTGGTTAATCCTCTGCCTACGGCACCGGCATCCCACATGGGCGCCAGGTTCTAGTCCCGGTTGCCCTTCTTCCAGTCCAGCTCTCTGCTGTGACCCGGGAGGGCAGTGGAGGATGGCCCAAGTGCTTGGGCCCCTGCACCCGCATGGGAGACCAGGGAGGAGCACCTGGCTTCTGGCTTCGGATTGGCCCAGTGCCCGTCTCTCTGTCTCACTGTCTATAACTCTACCTGTCAAATAAATAATGAAAAAAAAAAAAAGAAGTTGAGCATCCAGACATCAACCAACGCCCATATGGGATGCTGGCATGGTATACACTGGCACCTGCTTTGGGTCTTTGGCCTTAAATTCCATGTTTTCTCTCTCTTTTTTTTATATTTTAAAAAAAATTTATTTGACAGGTAG